TCATGGAATTCATAACTTTTCAACTTTTATCAAAATTTACTAAAAATCTGATTTTAATCCCCCATCAAACGGGGTAAAACACAATAAATTTGAATTTTTTTATTTTTTCTCTTGCTCTTTATTACCCTGTCCCTCACGCTTCCTACCAAAACCTTAAAACTTCTAATTTTTAAAAATTTGTCTATAATTTCTCTACAAATTATCACACCTATCACAACTTTTCTCCTATCAAATTATGCATATAGAATGTGTCTGAGGTTATTGTATTCAATTTGACTTATATTGAACGAATTGTGTTTATTTGATTGATTATTAGTATTGAATATTGGTTATATGTATTTACTTTCAATTACTTGAATTTATTATTTGTATCAAATATACTATAAATTTTTTAAATGTAAATATGTATTTTCTTGTGATGAGCAAAATATTAATAAAATGATTGTTTGAAATCAAATAGATAAAAATGATGAGCAAAATATTAATGAAGAAATGTTTTATTAAATGTAAATCTGTATTATTTCTAAGTATGAATTATTCAAAAATCAAGAAGAAAGTATTCAATTTGTACATGGATTGATTNAAATGTTTTTTAAATGTAAATCTACATTTTCTCGAGTCAATTATGAATCATTCAAAAATCAAGAGCAATGTATTTGATTTGTACAGGGTTTGATTGTGCCCCCCTAACTCAAAATGTGTGCTTCCGCCCGTCTTTTTGCCTATGTAGTTTAACTGTCTTATTGCCAAGTCTTCATGGAACGGATATTTGGACAAGCCACCGTCAATGTATTTACTGGTATTCTTACCAGTTTTTCCTATCCTCTCTGAAGCCAGATTCCTTTTTATGAGGAGAACATGCACAGCATGCTTTAATATTGAGTTGATTTGTTAGTGTTGTTTGCTGTTCCAAACCTCACTTGGAAGTTTCAAATTTTATTGAGAGTATGAATGCACATTGTTGAGTATTTTTTGCTCCTAGGCGAACATTTGCTGATGATGCTATATTAAACATTTTGCTTTGTGCTACAATATCCAACTTCGTGTTAAACAAGGTTAAGAGCTTGTTTGGGAGACATTAAAATCAGATTAAAATTGAAAATATAGCCGTTGGAGTTGACTTTTATTAGATGAGTGGGACTCAATAACGGCTATATTTTCAATTTTAATGAGATTTTAATCCTTCCCAAACAACGTCTAAAGAACTATATGGGCAACCAGTGGTTGTACTACCTTTTGTCCTCTATCTACCTCTATATCCCTTTAATGGTTTGTTCTTCATTTAATTTGCAGTGCTAAAATGTTTACAAGTTATATTTGAAATATATGGGAATACTTCTTTAATGTCCCCGCGGTCCGTTTGTATGTGTTATTTTACCTCACCATCTCTGAATTCTGAATTTAGTATGCTTCCTGCCTTCTCTATCTACATTTGCCCACTGTCATATGTTAAAAAAGCTCTGGTGTCTTTTTTGTTGCTTCCCAGGTTTAGCCCAGAAGCTCTGAACTGGCTGTTCGCCAAGGGCTTGGTAGGCTGGTGTTTGCAAGTTATCCTTCTGAAAGCAACATTGTATACGTTGGGTAGTGGCGAGGCACCTTTGCTTGATATCGTGGCATATGCTGGATACGCTTTCACGGGACTGTCTCTGGCTATCTTGGGGAAGATTGTCTGGTACTATTCGTACTACTTTCTCATGCCGTGGACGTGCTTATGTATGGGGATTTTCTTGGTGAAGACAATGAAGAGAGTTCTTTTTGCTGAAGTGAGGAGTTACGATTCGAGCAGGCATCATTATCTCCTGCTGCTCATCGCCTTGGCACAGTTCCCACTATTCATATGGCTGGGGAACATTAGTCTCAACTGGCTTTTTTAAGATGCATGCCTTCAAGAAGTTGTTGTGAATAGTTCATCTGTGTAATGACAGTAAAGATTTTCTTTGCAAGCAATTTTATTACTAGATTGTTTGATCTCTTGGTTGCTTGATATTACAGATTGAGGATTACGGGCAAGTTTGATATGAACTATCAGTCAACTACAAGTAAGAAAATGAAGTAAAATCTTATACATTGTATGTTGGGTTCTGTTTTGCAGCAAGCACTAATATCAACATTTCTGTCCATTTGAAGTCCAATTTTAACGAGTAACTTCTATTTTGTCTTCCTCTTTTTTTCTTCATTTTGAATCTTAAAAGGCATTTTCAATTTGTAAAAGACAGAAGGTGGAATAAATTGGCCTCTCTCTTCCCATTCTTGGCCAATCAAATTAGGACAATTTTTTATTTCTAATTGAATTCAATTTTTTCATTACGTAGTCTAAACAAGTAACTCGCCTCTCAACTTGTTACAGTTCAACAAAAAGTGACCAATTATTTCAATGCATGAAGAATAAAAGTAGAAATGATACACAAACATTAATAAACGTTCAAAACATAATCATTACAATTAAAGGTTCAAACTAGTTTACAATCCTTCACCCAACTAATGATTCAATTACACATTAAAAAGGAAGAAAGACACAAAAATGTATTAATACATCACCGAATTTAAAAGAAAAATGAGAGAAAGATGAACTTCTTGCACCAATAATTTGTCGTCTTCATGCCAAGTTCTTCAAACCCTAACCTTCTTTCTATCTTCTTGTATATTCTCTTATTTTTCTCGTGTCTTCTTTGTGTCTATCTTCGAACAATTTAATTTTTTTATGGTGTGGAATTCCTCTATATGAAATTCTATTATGTGGGATGGAATCTCCCTTAATTTTACCTAAATGAGTTTTTCTATAGACCTCAATTTGCCTTGAAAGTCGTGCCTCCGAAAGGATCAAACTACCCCGTTTGTCATGTCTGTGACTAATCAACTGTTGCAGTCAAACCGCAATTTTCTTATCGTGGTCGGACCATGGCATACAGGTCTCACTTTAGACCACAGTTTGCAAATCGCAATCACTCTCTACAACTTTCAATTTTTTACACTTTGGCCCCTACTTTGAATTTTTGTACGATTTTGGTCCCTTCAATCCAAATCTTTAATATATGTGCAATTTCTGAAAGAATCCACATTGGTCCGAACCTCCATAATCATCCAAAATTTGTCCTTCTCAAGTTCTAAAAGTGTCCAAATCAGTCCCCAAGTTTCCCATGAGCTAAGTTTCGCTATCGAAACTTGTGACTTTCCTCTAATTGCTCTCTTGATACTTCATATCAATCCAGTACAACAAAATTAATTAGTCTTTAATTACTTCAAACCAACTCCAATTAAACTCAAAATCCTCCTCTTTGCCCCAAGTACCTTCAAATTTTTATTTTAAATATAATAACAAAAATCACTCTAAACCCTAATTAAGTAGAAATTTGCCCAATATGTAAATATAAATTAACTTTATAAGAATAGATAAATGTGCAAAACACACTTATCAACTCTCTGTCACAATATGAACATGTTATGGTGGGCTTAAGATAATCTATAACATATGTAAAATAACTTAAGAACTTAATTTTTTTTTTTTTTTAATAAAAAGGCTCTAACCTTGTGCTTTGTGTAAGTGTTATGCTCTAAGTCCAGTGTTAGTGGTTAATCTCTAACGTTCGGTAGTGAAATTGATCTTTTGACTTGAGGTCGTCATAGTACTTTATATGAGGACAGTCATACTTTGATGGTGTTGGATGTTACTATGCCAAGAGTCGTTAATACAGTATCGTTCGGGTATGTCAAGAATCATATGAAAGTTGTGAATGATCAATAGAGAATTCGTCGCTCTTCGATAGTAAAAGATTATGATCTACATNGTTCGGGTATGTCAAGAATCATATGAAGGTTGTGAATGATCAATAGAGGATTCGTCACTCTTAGATAGTAAGAGATTATGATCTACATTTTATCCAGTTAAGTTGATAATGAAATCCTTGGCCAAGGTGAACTCATAAGTCGGGAAAAAGTTTTTGACTTACATTGACTTAACACTGGGATAAAAGATATGATCGATAATTGAAATTGACACTTATCCATATCTCATTATTGATTGGATCATATTGACGAAAGGATTATAATTTCACGATAAACGAACAAGTTTAGTTTGTCACATCACATGACATTTTCCATCACATGTATTGCCTTGACACATTGCTAGATGTCAATCTGGGATGACGAATGTAAATTAGTAATAAATTAAAAGGGGTGTCTTAATTTATCGATTTCGATTAGATCAAAATAAAAATTCACGTCGTTAGGCATCGTGATCGGGAACCTAATGGGTCACACACAAAAAAGAACCAGAAGAATGAGATTTACCAATTAATTAATTGACAAGTGTTGAATAAATAATTAATTGGATTGCTTATTAATCGGCCT